ATGTCAGGTCAAGACAGATGTACACCAAAGGCTTACATGAGAGACACAAAGTCACCGTCAGTCTCAGTATATAAAATCCACTTATTAAAATACGTGTTTATAACAGTCTAACATCTAATTATCATATGTTCGTGAGATCGAGAGAGAGAAAAAGAAAGACAGAAACAGAGAGAGAGACAGACAGACAGAGACAGGGAGAGAGAGAGAGAGACAGGCAGATAGACAGGCAGACAGAGATGGAACAGCGAGAGGGAAAGAGAGAGAGAGAGAAGAATGAGTACAGGCGTGGAAAAGAGATACGAGAGGAAATAAGTAAGAGCGAAAAAGAGAGTTTACTTATCAGTCATGTCTAAACTCCATTTTTTCTTTCTTTTTTTTCATTTTTTTTTTTTTTGGGGGGGGGGGTCACATTGTTTCATGTTGTCAGTTGCTATTTTATGTATCTATGTCCTGTTATTTATCCTAATTCGAAGTCCGTTTTATAACCTGCAACACGAAATTTGATATCTTATTTTATAGGTTATTGAACTGTTTTAATTTCAGGAAAACGTTTATATAATCTTGGGTTTCATATTTTACTTTCGAAACAAGATCTTCCTCCTTCTTCTTCTTCTCCTCTTTCGCTCTCTCTCTCTATCTATCTCATTTTATGTGTGTGTCTGTGTGTGTGTGTGTGTTTATTTATTCATTTATATAGATGTATATATACAAATATATATATATTATATATATATATATATATATATATATATATATATATGCGTGTGTGTGTGTGTGTGTGTGTGTGTGTGTGTGTGCGCGTGTGTGTGTGTGTGTGTGTGTGTGTGTGTGTGTGTGTGTGTGTGTGTGTGTGTGTGTGTGTGCATATAGACATAAACTCGTATATATATATTTTCTCTTACTCCCAATAATACGCTAATCATTATAACCATATACAGTATTCAAACATGTACGAATATTATATACACACATGTTAAAAACCGTATGCGAAATATAGTTGAAATATCCATAGTCAATAATAGCACCCTTTAGCAACTATGGAAAATTAATAGATAAATAGATAGATAAAATACAATGAGAGAATAAAAAAATAAATAAATAAGCCCTTTAGCAACTATGAAAAAATGAATAGATTAATAAATAGATAAGATACAATGAAAGAATTTAAAAATATATAATAAACCCTTTACCAACTATGAAAAAAATGAATTGAGAGATAAATAGATGAAATACAGTGAAAGAAAAAGACTAATATATATATATATATATATATATATAATATATATATATATATATATATATATATATATATATATATATATATATATATATATATATATATATATATATATATATATATATATATATATATATATATATATATATATAATAAGCCCTTTAGCAACTATGAAAAATGAATAGATAAAATACAATGAAAGAATTTTAAAATTATATAATAAACCTTTTAGCAACTATGAAAAATAAATAGATGAATAAATAGATAAAATAGAATGAAAGAATAAAAAAATATAATAAACCCTTTACCAACTAATGAAAAATGAATAGATAGATAATTAGATAAAATAATGAAAGAATAAAAAAAAAATATAATAAAACAATAATATAATAAACCCCTTAGCAACTATGAAAAAAAAATAGATAGATAAATAGATAAACACAATGAAAGAATAAAAAATATGATAAAAAAATATAATAAACCCTTTAGCAACTATGAAAAAATTAATAGATAAATAAATAGAGAAAATAGAACGATATAGAATAAAATAAAATATATAATCTAGAATATAGAATAAAATTGATGTGCAATGCGGCACAGGACTTGCATAACGAAAGGCCGTTGTCAGTAAAGGAACCGTAACAGAAGGTCAGTTTTGTATAATGAAAATGGGACGAAATGACGTGGGTTTTGTTATATAAGTGTCGATGGGGGTTCGTTGACTGTGGTGTTTTGGAAGGTCATTCTCTCTTTTTTTGTTTTGCTTTTTTTATTCGCTTCTTTTTCTTTCGTTCTCTCTTTCTCTGTGTGTAATTGTCTATTTGTTTGTTTATATGTTTCTCTATTTTTTCTTGGCCTGTCTCTTTGTCTGTCTCTTTATCTTTCTTTTGATCTTACCCTCTGTCTCTCTCTATCGGTCTCTCTGTTTCTTTCTCTCTCTTCTCTCTCTCTCTCTCTCTCTCTCTCTCTCTCTCTCTCTCTCTCTCTCTCTCTCTCTCTCTCTCTCTCTCTCTCTCTCTCTCTCTCTCTCTTTCTTTCCTTCTTTCTTTTTCTTTCTTTCTTTCTTTCTTTCTTTCTTTCTTCCCTCCTTCCTTCCTTTCCTTTCCTTTCCTTTTCTTTCCTTCCCTCCCCTTTCATTCCCTCCTCTCCCCTCCCCTATACCTTCCATCCCTTCCCTTCCCCTTCCCTTCCCTTCCCTCCTTCCTTTCCTTCCCTTTTCCTCCCTTCCCTTCCCTTCCCTTTCCTTCCCTTCCCCTCCTTCCCCCCTTCCCTTCCCTCACTCCCTTTATTCCCCTTGAAAACAAACAAACAAACAAACCATACCAACAGAAATAATCATCGTTGCCAATGTCATAATCTCCCCCAAGGCAGCCAAATTCCCGAAGAAATATCCTTGGCAACACTGACACGCCGACGCATCTTGCAATTAGTCACAAGATTATTTCTGGCAACTGTCAGTGATAAGAGCAAAGGGTAACTTTCAAAAAAATGTATATAGTTTTTTTTTCTATAATATTGGATGAGGATGTTTTGGTGATGATGGTGAAGATGATGAGGTTGCTGGTGTTGTATTGATGGTGATGATGAGGTGGTGATGATGAGGATGAGGATATTGATGAGGAGGATGTTGGTGATGAGGATGAGAAAACGTTTGGAAATGTTTCTATGATTTTGATATTATTGTTGCTGATGATGACGAGAATGAAGATTTTGATGTTGGTTGATGATAGTGATGATGATAATGATGAGGAGGATGTTGATGATGATGGTGATGATGATAATGATGAGGATGATTATGAGGATGTTGATGTTTTGTTGATGATAATGATGACGATGTTGATAATAATAATGATGAGGATGAGGATGATTATGAGGATGTTGATGTTTCGTTGATGAAGATGTTGATGACGGTGATGAAAATAATGATGATGAGAAGGATGTTGATGTTTGGTTGATGATGATGATAGTAATGATGATGATGAGAAGGATGTTTTGTCTGCTGATGATGATGGTAATAATGATGAGGATAATGATGAAGAAGATGTTGATGTTTTGTTGATGATGATGATGATGTTGATAATAATGATGAGGAGGATGTTGATGTTTTTGATGATGAGGATGTTAATAATGATGAGGATGATGAAGAAGTGGATGTTGATGTTTTGTTGGTGATGATGAGGATGAGAATGACACTGTTGTCGTTATTTTGCTGTTGCTAAATCTATTGTAACCAAAGAAATGTTTGTTCAACATTTACCCGATCTATTCAGAAATATGTCACTACACGATGGAGAGATAAAATCGCTTGGACAACCACCATGCAGCGTCTGGTTCTCGAGATATTCGTAGATACAAAACCACGCATAAACACACACACGCACACACACCGTATTCCATCTCAAGTGAATCTCGGGCACAGATTTCCGACATTAATAGTTAGTGCCATCTCCCACAACTTCTCAGTGCCATCTCACACTCTCCGGTGCCATCTCCCACACTCTCGGTGCCATCTCCCACACTCTCGGTGCCATCTCCCACACTCTCGGTGCCATCTCCCACACTCTCGGTGCCATCTCCCACACTCTCGGTGCCATCTCCCACACTCTCGTGCCTCTCACTCTCGGTGCCCATCTCCCATACTCTCAGTGCCATCTCCCACACTCCGTGCCATCTCCTACTCTCCCATCTCCACTCTCAGTGCCATCTGTCTCTCTCTCCCACACTCTCGGTGCCATCTGCCACCACACTCTCAGGTGCCATCTCCCACACTCTCGTGCCATCTCCCACACTCTCGGTGCCATCTCCCACACTCTCGGTGCCATCTCCCACACTCTCAGTGCCATCTCCCATACTCTCGGTGCCATCTCCCACACTCTCAGTGCCATCTCCCACACTCTCGGTGCCATCTCCCACACTCTCAGTGCCATCTCCCATATCAGTGCCATCTCCCACTACATCGCCATCTCCCCACTCTCAGTGCCATCTTCCCACACTCTCAGTGTCATCTCCCACACTCTCCGTGCCATCTCCCACACTCTCGGTGCCATCTACCCACACTCTCGGTGCCATCTGCCACACTCTCGTGCCATCTCTCCACACTCTCGTCCATCTCCCCACACTCTCGTGCCATCTCCCACAGTGCCATCTCCACACTCTCGGTGCCAATTCTCCATACCCTCAGTGCCATCTCCCACTCTCAGTGCCATCTCCACTCTCAGTGCCACCTCCCACACTCTCAGTGTCTCATCTCCCCACTCTCGGTGACATCTCCCACACTCTCAGTGCCATCTCCCACACTCTCGGTGCCATCTCCCACACTCTCAGTGCCATCTCCCACACTCTCGGTGCCATCTCCCACACTCTCAGTGTCATCTCCCACACTCTCGGTGCCATCTCCCACACTCTCGGTGCCATCTCCCACAGGTGCCATCTCTCCGGTTGCCATTCTCCCATTACCCTAGTGCCATCTCCCACTCTCCAGCTGCCATCTCCCACTCTCAGTGCATCTTCCCACACTCTCAGTGTCATCTCCCACACTCTCGGTGCCATCTCCCACACTCTCAGTGCCATCTCCCACACTCTCGCGTGGTTCCCACACTCTCGTGCCATCTCCCACACTTCTCCGCCATCTCCCACACTCTCAGTGTCATCTCCCACACCTCCGGGTGCCATCTCCCACACTCTCGGTGCCATCTCCCGCACACTCTCAATGCCCATCCTCCCATCACACTCTCGCATGCCATCTCCCACACTCTCGGTGCCATCTCCCACACTCTCGGTGCATGTCTCCCACACTCTCAGTGCCATCTCCCACACTCTCAGTGCCATCTTCCCCACACTCTCCGGGCGCCAAATCTCCCACACTCTCAGTGCCATCTCCCATACTCTCAGTGCCATCTCCCACACTCTCAGTGCCATCTCCACCCACTCTCGTGCCATCTCCCACACTCTCGGTGCCATCTCCCACACTCTCGGTGCCATCTCCCACACTCTCGGTGCCATCTCCCATACCCTCAGTGCCATCTCCCACTCTCAGTGCCATCTCCCACTCTCAGTGCCATCTCCCACACTCTCAGTGTCATCTCCCACACTCTCGGTGCCATCGACCACACTCTCAGTGCCATCTCCCACACTCTCGGTGCCATCTCCCACACTCTCAGTGCCATCTCCCACACTCTCGTGCCATCTGCCCAACACTCTCAGTGTCATTCCCACACTCTCGCATGCCATCTCCCACACTCTCGGGCCATCTCCCACACTCTCGGTGCCATCTCCCACACTCTCAGTGCCATCTCCCATACCCTCAGTGCCATCTCCCACTCTCAGTGCCATCTCCCACTCTCAGTGCCATCTCCCACCACTCTCAGTGTCATCTCCCACACTCTCGGTGCATCTCCCCCACCCACTCTCAGTGCCATCTCCCACACTCTCGGTGCCATCTCCCACACTCTCAGTGCCATCTCCCACACTCTCACGTGGCCATCTCCCACACTCTCAGTGCCATTCTCCCATACTCTCCAGCTGCCATCTCCCACACTCTCAGTGCCATCTCCCACCACTCTCAGTGTCACTCCCACTCATCTCAACGCCATCTCCCACACTCTCAGTGCCATCTCCCACACTCTCAGTGCCATCTCCCACACTCTCAGTGCCATCTCTCCCACTCTCAGTGCCATCTCCCACACTCTCAGGTGTCCATCTCCCACACTCTCAGTGCCATCTCCCACACTCTCAGTGCCATCTCCCACACTCTCAAGTGCCATCTCCCCCACTCTCAGTGCCATCTCCACACTCTCAGTTGCCATCTCCCATACTCTCAGTAGCCATCTCCCACACTCTCAGTGCCATCTCCCACACTGCTCAGTGTCATTCTCCCACACTCTCAGTGCATCACTCCCACATCTCTACCTGGTTTGCCATCTTCACCACACTCTCAGTGCCATCTCCCACCACTCTCAGTGCCATCTCCCACACTCTCGGTCATCTCCACACTCTCAGTGCCATGCCATCTCCCTCCACACTCTCAGTGCATCTCCCACACTCTTCAGTGCCAATCTCCCACACTCTCGGTGCCATCTCCCACATCAGTGTCCATTAGTGCCATCCCCCACTCTCAGTGCCATCTCCCACACTCTCGCGTGCCACATCTCTGCCATCCTCCCCACACTCTCAGTGCCACTTCTCCCCACACTCTCAGTGCCATCTCCCACACTCTCGGTGCCATCTTACCCACCACTACTCAGTGCCATCTCCCACACTCTCGGTGCCACCTCCCACACTCTCGGTGCCTACTCCCCACACTTCTCGTCTCCCACACTCTCGTGCCATCTCCCACACTCTCAGGTGCCACTCCCACACCTCAGTGCATCTTCCCACACTCTCTGCCACTCTCCCACACTCTCGGTGCCATTCTCCCACACTCTCAGTGCCATCTCCCACACTCTCAGTGCCATCTCCCACACTCTCAGCCATCTCAGTGCCATCTCCCACACTCTCAGTGCCATCTCCCACACTCTCAGTGCCATCTCCCACACTCTCAGTGCCATCTCCCACACTCTCGGTGCCATCTCCCACACTCTCAGTGCCATCTCCCACACTCTCAGTGCCATCTCCCACACTCTCAGGTGCCATCTCCACACTCTCGTGCTGCCATCTCCCACCACATTCGGGCCATCTCCACTCTCAGTGCCATCTCCCACACTCTCAGTTGCCATCTCCCACACTCTCAGTGCCAATCTCCCACTCTCAGTGCCATCTCCCGCACCCTCAGTGCCATATCCCACACTCTCAGTGCCACCTCCCACACTCTCAGTGCCATCTCCCACACTCTCGGTGCCATCTCCCACACACTCAGTGCCATCTCCCACACTCTCAGTGCCATCTCCCACACCCTCAGTGCCATCTCCCACACACTCAGTGCCATCTCCCACACTCTCGGTGCCATCTCCCACACTCTCAGTGCCATCTCCCGCACTCTCCAGGTGCCAATCTCCCACCACATCTCGGTGCCACTCCCACACTCTCAGTGCCATCTCCCACACTCTCAGTGCCAAGTCTCTCCACTCTCAGTGCCATCTCCCACACATTCAGTGCCATCTCCCACACTACTTCAGTGCCATCTCCCACACTCTCAGTGCCATCTCCCACCTCTCGGTGCCACCTCCCCACACTCTCGGTGCCATCTCCCACACTCTCGTGCCATCTCCCACACTCTCAGTGCCATCTCCCACACACTCAGTGCCATCTCCACACTCTCAGTGCCCATCTCCACACTCTCGGTGCCATCTCCCACACTCCTCGGTGCCATCTCCACCACTGCTCAGTGCCATTTCCCCACACTCTCAGTGCCATCTCCCACACACCTCAGTGCCATACATTCCCTCACTCTCAAGTGCCCATTCTCCCTCACTCTCAGTGCCATCTCCCACACTCTCAGCTGCCATCTCCCACACTGCTCAGTGCCATCTCCACACTCTCAGTGCCTTCTCCCACACTCTCAGTGGCCAATCTCCCACACATCTCATTGCCATTCTCCACACTCTCAGTGCCATCTCGCACACTCTCGTGCCATCTCCCACACTCTCATTGCCATCTCCCCACACTCTCAGTGCCATCTCCCCACACTCTCGGTGCCATCTCCCACACACTGCTCAGTGTCCATCTCCCAGCACTACTCAGTGCCATCTCCCACACTCTCAGCTGCCATCTCCCACACTCTCAGTGCCATCTCCGCCACTCTCGGTGCCATCTCCCACACTCTCTGGCTGCCATCTCCCACACTCTCCGGTGCCATCTCCCACACACTCTCAGCCATCTCCCACACTCTCAGTGCCATCTCCCCAACTCCAGTGTCATCTCCCACACTCTCCAGTGCCCATCTACCCAACTCTCAGTGCCATTCTCCCACACTCTCAGTGCCATCTCCCACACTCTCATTGCCATCTCCCACACTCTCGTGCATCTCCCACACTCTCAGCTGCCATCTCCCACACAGTGCCATCTCCACACTCTCAGTGGTCAATCTCCCACCAACTCTCAGTGCCATTCTCCCACACTCTCAAGTGCCATCTCCCACACTCTCAGCTAAGCCATCTCCCACACTGTCAGTGCCATCTCCCACATCTCTCAGTGTCAATCTCCCACACTTCTCAAGTGCCATCCCCACACTCTCGGCTGCCATCTCCCACCTACTCTTCAGCTGTCATCTCCCCACACTCTCAGCGTGCCATCTCCCACACTCTCGGTGCCATCTCCCACAACTCTCAGTGTGGATCTCCCACACTCTCAGTGCCATCTCCCACACTCTCGGTGCCATCTCCCACACTCTCAGTGTCATCTCCCACACTCTCAGTGCCATCTCCCACACTCTCGGTGCCATCTCCCACACTCTCAGTGCCATCTCCCACACACTCTCAGTGCCATCTCCCAACACTCTCAGGCCTGCCATCTCCCACACTCTTCGAGTTGTCATCTCCACAACACTCTCAGTGCCATCTCCCAACACTTCGGTAGCATCTCCCACAACTCTCAAGTGTCATCTCCCACACTCTCTAGTGCCATTCTCCCACACTCTCGGTGCCATTAATCTCAGTGCCAATCTTCCCACCACTCTCGTCCCATGCTTCCTCCCAACCCACGCTTCAGTGTCATCTCCCACACTCTCAGTGCCATCATCCCCACACTCTCCTGGTGCCATCTCCCACCACCTCTACAGTGTCATCTCCCACACTCTCAGTGCCATCTTCCCACACTCTCCGTTGCCATCTCCCACACTCTCAGTTTCATCTCCCCACACTACTCATGCCATCGTCCCACACTCTCGGTGCCATCTCCCACAACTCTCAGTGTCATTTCTCCCACACTCTCGGTCGCCAGCCTCCCACACTCTAAGTTGCCATACTCCCACACTCTCAGTGCCATTCTCCCATACTCCTCAGTGCCATCTCCCACACTCTCAGTGCCATCTCCCAGGACTCTCTAGTGCCATCTCCCACACTCTCGCCCGTAGCCATCTCCCACACGTCTCGGTGCCATCTTCCCACACTCTCAGTGTCATCTTCCCACACTCTCAGGTGCCATCTCCCACACTCTCCAGCTGCCAATTCCGTATATCTATCAACTAGGTGCTGAGCTTCTCCCACACTGCTTCTCCCGGTTGCCATCTCCCACATCTCTCAGTGCATCTCCCACACTCTCAGTGCCAATCTCCCACACTCTCAGTTGCCACTTCTCGCCCCAGCGCGCCCTCTCAGTGCTCATCTGCCCACCACTGCTCAGGAGGGCAAGTTGCCCGAGGCTCATCCCCCACACTCCTCATCGTGCCATCCTCCCACACTCTCGCGAGTTTGTGCTCATCTGCCCACTACTCTCAAAGTGACATATCTCCCATCAACTCTCCAGGGGTCGCCATTCTCCCACACTCTCAGGCTGCCACGTCTCCCACACTCACATCTCTTCCTGGCTGCCAATTTACCGAATCGTCTCTCATGGGAATCACCGGCGTGTGCCAATCTACCATTTTACCACTCTACTTGTCTTCTACTTCTCCGCCGTAACTGCACTCCACGCGTCCTCCACCTCGTAGCCATACTGACTTCTCTACCCCACCTAAACAGCAATATCTCGCATGACGAGATATAGCCAATATTTCCTACCGACCAACAACCGATCCTCCTAGAGATGACTCATATGCTCTACAGCCTTCCAGATAATCATCTTTCGAGCGCGTTGCCATGCTAACCCACGTCACTCTTCTCCACAATAACAATCCTACACACGTCTATTCATATACACTTTCCTATTACACGCCCGCTGCGAACTCATCGCTCCATGACCCCACACAATTGATCCTCGTGAGTTCGTGCGACTCAGTGCTCGGCCTCTCTGCAACTCTCACTGGTGATTGCGTCGTCAGCAATTTACCTTCACATTCTATCTTTCGCAGCAACCGGCGGTCAAGCTCAGCCCCACCCAGATGCATCTCAAGAGCGCGAGCGCCGAGTGCCTCACCATCATCTACTTTCCAACACCCCTCGTGAGATGTCGGAACCATACTTATGACTTGCACCATCTCCCACTAAATACTCTCAGTGCCATATCTTCCCACACTCTTCGGCTGCACCCATCTTTACTCATCTATACTCTACTTTCACGCCATATCTCCACTTCTACATCTCTATAGTGCCATATCTCCCACACTTACCTCTAGATACTTAAGTGCATATCTCCCACTAACTCTTACGTAGTGCCATCTCCCCACTCCTTACAGGTGTCNCTCTCGGTGCCATCTCCCACACTCTCGTGCCATCTCCATACACTCTCAGTGCCATCTCCCACACTCGGTGCCATCTCCCATACTCTCGGTGCCATCTCCAACACTCTCAGTGCCATCTCCCACACTCTCAGTGCCATCTCCCACACTCTCGGTGCCATCTGCCACACTCTCAGTGCCATCTCCCACACTCTCGGTGCCATCTCCCACTCTCCATCTCCCAACTCTCGGTGCCATCTCCCACACTCTCGGTGCCATCTGCCAGCCACCTCTCAGTGCCATCTCCCATACTCTCGGTGCCATCTCCACACTCTCTCGGTGCCATCTCCACCTCTCGTCATCTCCACACTCTCAGTGCCATCTCCACACCTCAGTGCCATCTCCCACTTCTCCATCCCCACACTCTCAGTGCATCTCCCATCTCAGTGTCATCCACACTCTCGGTGCCATCTCCACACTCATCGTGCACATCTCCACACTCTCGGTTGCAATCTGCCACACTCTCGGTGCCATCTCCACACTCTCGTGCCATCTCTCTCACATCTCCCAACTTCGGTGCATCTCCACACTCTCGGTGCCATTCCCATACCCTCAGTGTCATCTCTCCCACTCTCAGTGCACACTCTCAGTGCCATCTCCCACACTCTCAGTGTCATCTCCCACACTCTCAGTGACATCTCCCACACTCTCAGTGCCATCTCCCACACTCTCAGTGCCAAATCTCCATCTCCCACACTCTCGGTGCCATCTTCCCACATCATTCCCACACTCTTCGGTGCCATCTCCCACACTCTCGGTGCCATCTCCACAACTCTCGGTGCATCTCCCACACTCTCAGTGCCATCTCCCACACCTCAGTGCCATCTCCCACTCTCAGTGCATCTCCAGTGCCATCTCCACACTCTCAGTGCCATCTCCCACACTCTCGGTGCCATCTCTCCCACACTCTCAGTGCCATCTCCCCACTCTTCGGTGCCATCTCCCACAACTCTCAGTGCATCTCCCACACTCTCGGTGCCATCTCCCACACTCTCAGTGCCATCCCACACTCTCGGTGCCATCTCCACACTCTCGTGCCATCTCCCACACTCTCAGTGCCATCTCCCACACTCTGTGCCATCTCCCACACTCCTCGGTGCCATCTCCCACACTCTCGGTGCCATCTCCCACACATCTCAGTCATCTCCCACACTCTCAGTGCCATCTCCCACACTCTCGGCCATCTCCCACACTCTCAGTGCCATCTGCCCATACTCTCAGTGCCATCTCCACACTCTCAGTGCCATCTCCACACTCTCGGTGCCATCTCCACACTCTCGGTGCCATCTCCCACACTCTCGGTGCCATCTCCCACACTCTCGGTCATCTCCATACCCTCAGTGCCACTCTCAGTGCCATCTCCCACTCTCAGTGCCATCTACACACTCTCTGCAGTGTCCATTCTCCACACTCTCGGTGCCAATCCACACTCTCAGTGCCATCTCCCACACTCTCGGTGCCATCTCCCACATCTCAGTGCATCTCCACATCTCGTGCCATCTCCAAACTCTCAGTGTCATCTCCCACACTCTCGGTGCCATCTCCCACACTCTCGGTCCACCCACACTCTCAGTGCCATCTCCCACACTCTCAGTGCCATCTCCCCTCACATCTCCCACTCAGTGCCATCTCCCACCTCTCAGTGCCATCTCCCACATCTCAGTGTCATCTCCCACACATCTCCCACACTCTCAGTGCCATCTCCCACACTCTCGGTGCCATCTCCCACACTCTCGGTGCCATCTCCCACACTCTCAGTGCCATCTCCCACACTCTCAGTGCCATCTCCCATCTCAGTGCCATCTCCACACTCTCAGTGCCTCTCATCATCTCCACACTCTCAGTGCCATCTCCCACACTCTCAGTGGCCATCTCCCACACTCTCAGTGCCATCTCCACATCTCCCATCTCCCAAACTCTCAGTGCCATCTCCCACTCTCAGTGCCATCTCCCACACTCTCAGTGCCATCTCCCACACTCTCAGTGCCATCTCACACTCTCAGTGCCATCTCCCACACTCTCAGTGCCATCTCCCACACTCTCAGTGCCATCTCCCACACTCTCAGTGCCATCTCCCACATCAGTGCATCTCCCCACACAGTGTCTCATGCATCTCCCACACTCTCATGCCATCTCCCACACTCTCGGTGCCCATCTCCCACACTCTCAGTGCCATCTCCCACACTTCAGTGCATCTTCCCACTCTCCATCTCCCACACTCTCAGTGGCCATCTCCCACACTCTCAGTGACATCAGTTCTCCCACACTCTCAGTGCCATCTCCCACACTCTCAAGTGCCATCTCCACACTCTCAGTGGCCATCTCCACATCTCGGTGCCATCTCCCCACTCTTCAGATGATCATCTCCGCACACTCTCAGTGCCTCTCCCACACTCCTCGGTTGCCAATCTCACACTCTAAAGTGTCATCCTCACACACTCTTAGTGCCATCTCCACACTTCTTTCAGTGGCATCTTCCCCACAATACTCGGTTGGCCATCTCACAAATCTCAGTGCCATCTCCCCCAAATCTCGGTGCCACGTCCACACTCTCTGTGCCATCTCCCCACACTGCTCGGCTGGCCACTCCCAACACTCATCCGGTGCATTCTCCAACACTCTGGTGGCCATTATCCCTACTCTCTAGGTGTTCTTCATCCTCTCTTTATCTAGGTATTCCTCTACCCTCGGTGTCCATTCTCCACACTCTTTCAGTGCCAATACTCCCACACTTCCAGTGCCATTCTCCCACATCTTTTTCTCTCTCAGTACCATATCTCACATCTCTCATGTGCACTCCTCTATTTTACTCTCTAGGCCATCCACACCTATGCTACTCTCCGCACATCTTCTTTTCTCGTGCCCAGTCTCCCACTCTCGGTGCCATCTAACACACTACTCAGTGCCATCTCCCACACTCTCGGTGCCATCTCCCACACTTCTCGGTGCATCTCCCACACAGTTGCGGTGCATCTCCCATCTCATGCCATTCTCCCACACTCTCAGTGCTCTCCACAGCTCTCAGTACCATGCTCCCACACTCATCAGTGCCATCTCCCCGACCCTCAAGGTGCATCTATCCGACACTCATCCAGTGCACCTCCACAGCTCGTCAGTGCCATCTCCCACGCTCTCTGGTCGCCGAGTCTGCCACACACTTCAGTGCCATCTCCCACATCTTCAGTAGCCGATCGTCCAGCCACACGCTCGAAGTGCCATCTCCCACACACTCAGTGGGCCATCTCGCCAACTCTCGGTGCCAATCTTCCCACACACTGCCTGCAGTGCCATCCTTCCCGCATCTCTCGAGTGCCATCCTCGCCACACTCTCGGTGCACCTCGCACACTCTCAGTGCCATCTCCCAGGGCACTCGTCAGTGCCATCTCTCCGCACATCCATATGTGCCATCTCTCCACACATATCAGTCCAATTCGCACACTGCTCAGTAGCCAATCTCCCAGGACACTCTCAGTGCCATCTCTCCACTGCTCTGGTGCCACTCCACACTCTTCAGGTGCATCTCCCCACTCTCGGTGCATCTCCACACTCTCAGTGCCAGCTGCCCAAACACTCAGATGCCATCTCCCACACTGCGGCTCAAAGATGCCATCTCGCACACTCTCGGTGCCTTATCTCCCACAATCTCGGAGTGCATCTCCACACACTCTCAGTGCATTCTCAATCTCTTCTCAGTGCCAGTCCATCCCACAACTCAGTGCCGATCTCCCTCGACTCTCGTGCATCTCCCCTCACTCTCAGTGGGCCATCTCCCAACTCTAGTGTGCCATGCTCCCACACTGTCAGTGCCATCTCCACACTCTCAGTGCCTTCTCCCACACTCTCAGTGCCATCCTCCGCACGAACTTCTCATCGTGCCAACTCATCCACAGCTCTCAGGTGCAATCTCCCCAGCTGCTCTGGTGCCATCGCTCCCATTCACGTCTCATTGCCATAGTCCCACACATCTCAGTGCCTCACTCCCGCACACTCTCGGTGGCCATCTCACACATGCTCAGTGTCATTCCCACACTACTGCAGTGGGCGACTCATCAGCACTCTTCAAGTTGCATCTCGCCGACTCACTTCTCAGTGCCACGTGCCCATGAGCTCTCAGTGCGCATCTCCCATCGATGCTCGGGTGGCCGATCTCCCACACTCTCACGTGCCATCTTCCCAATATAGATGATATATATAGATAGATCTCCCACTCTCAGTTGTCATCTCCCACCAGCTCTCAGTGACATCTCCAGCTCTCGAGGTGCCGCATCTGCCAAACTCTCAGTGCCATCTCCCAACTCTCAGTTGGCACATTCTCGACGCCCACTGCGTCGGTTGCCATCTCCGACCTTCCAGTGCATTCCCACAACTCTGCTCAGTGCGCGATCGCTCCGCAGCATCTCAGTGATCATCTCCACGCACGTCTCAGTGCATCGTCCCTCACTCTCAGTCGGCCATTCCGCCCAGCTCTCAGTGCCATCTCAGGTACTGATGCATGCCATCTCCAAACACTGCACTCAGTGTCATCTCACACTCTCAGTGCCATCTCCCCATCATCTTCGGTGCCAATCTCCCACACTGTCCATCTCCCACACTCTCAGTGCCATCTCCCACACTCTCCGGTGCCATCTCCCACATCTCTCAGTGCATCTCATCCACACTCTCAGTGCCATCTCCCACACTCTCGGTGCCATCTCCCACACTCTCAGTGCCATCTCCCACACTCTCAGTGCCATCTCCACACTCTCAGTGCCATCTCCCACACTCTCAGTGGCCATCTCCCACACACTTCAGTGCCATCTCCCACACACTCAGTGCCATCTCCCACACTCTCAGTGCCATCTCCACACTCTCAGTGCCATCTCCCACACTCTCCATCCTCCATCTCAAGTGTCATCTCCCACATCTCAGTCCAATCTCACCACATCTCAGTGCCATCTCCCACACTCTCAGTGGCCATCTCCCACACTCTCAGTGCATCTCACCTCAGTGCCCAACTCTCAGTGTCAGTCCATCACTCTCAGTGCATCTCCCACACTCTCAGTGCCATCTCCCCACTCTCAGTGTCATCTCCCACACTCTCGTGCCATCTCCCACACTTCGGTGCCATCTCCGCACTGCTCAGTGGTCATCCACAACACTCTCAGTGCCATCGTCTCCTTCTCTCTGGTGCCATCTCCCACACTCTCAGTGCCATCTCCCACATCTCAGTGCCTCTCCACACACATCTAGTGCCTCTCCCTCCTCTTCAAGTGCAATCTCCTCATGCTCATGCATCTCCACACTCTCAGTGCATTTCCACACTCTCAGTGCATATCCCACACTCTCAGTGCATCTCCACCTCTCAGTGCCATCTCACACACTCTCAGTGGCATCTTCCCACTCTCAGTGCCAATTCGCACTCTAGTGGCCATCTCTCACACTTTCAGTGGCATCTTCACATCTTCCAGTGCCATCTCCAACTCTCAGTGCATCTCCACACTCTAAGTGCTAATCTCCCACTCCCTCAGTGCCATCTCTACAACTATCGGTGCATCTCCACCTCTCATGCATTCCTACCTCCTCGGTGTGCCATCTCCACATCTCAGTGCCATTCTACACTCTCGGTGGCCATCCTCCCACACTCTCAAGTGCCATTTCCACACTTGTGCATCTGCCACATCTAGTGCCATCTCGCACCTCTCGGTGCCATTCCCAAATCTAGTTCATCTCTACACTCTCGGGTGCATTCCCAACTCTCAGTGCATCCCACACTTTTCTCGGTCCTCCAACTCTCAGTGCATCTCCCACTCTCGGTGCATTCCACCTCTCAGTGCCAATCTCTCAACATTGCAGTGCATCTCGCTCTTGGTGCCATTTCCCAAACACTCTCAGTGCCATCGTCCCACACTCTAGTGCATCTCCCTCAACTCTCAGTGCATCTCCTACCTCTCGTGCCCATTCCACCTCCAGTGCATTCCCACTCTCGGTGCATTCCCAACTCTCAGTGCTCTCCACTTCAGTGCATCTCTCACACTTCTCAGTGCCATCTTCACACTCTCAGTGCGCATCTCCACCTACTCGGTGCATTCCCACCACATCTCAGGCATCTCCAAATCTCAGTGCAATCTCCTACTCTCGGTGCCGACTCCACACTCTCAGTGCATCTCCTACACTCTCGGGTGCATCTCCCACCTTCAGTGCCATTCCTACAACTCTTCGTGCCATTCCAAACTTCAGTGCCATATCCCAACTCTCGGGTTGCCATCTGCACATCTCAGTGCCATCTCGCAACTCTGGGGCATCTCCCACACTCTAGTGCATCTCCTAAACACTCTCGGTGCCATCTCATTAGTGCCTCTCCCACACTCTCGGTGCCATCTGCCACACTCTCAGTGCCATCTCCACTCTGTGCACTCTCACATCTCGTGGCATCTCCCTCACTCTCAGTGCATCTCACTTAGTCGGTGCATCTCCCACATCTCAGTGCATCTCCAGCACTCTCATGCCATCTCCTCACTTCAGTGGCCATCTTCCTTACACTGCTCGAGTGCATTCCCCCGATCTCAGTGCAATCTCCCTACTCGAGTGGCCATATTTCCCCACTCCTCAGTGCCATCTCCACTCTCAGTGCCATCCTCCGCACACTCTCAAGTGCATTCCATACCGCCACTCTTCAGTGCCATCTCCGCTCTCTCAGTGCATCTCTAACATCTGGTGCATTCCACATCTCAGTGGGCATATCCCACTACTCTAGTGATCTCCACACTCTCAGTGCATCGTTCTCGCACACTCTCAGTGCCATCTCCACTCTCAGTGCCATCTCCCACTCTCAGTGGCATCTCCACTCTCGTGCATCTCACGCACACTCTCGGTGCCATCTTCCCACCTCTCGGTGCCATTTCCCAAACTCTCAGTGCATTCCCACTCTCAGTGGCATCTCCCACACTCTCAGTGCATCTCCAACTCCGCCAGTCATGCTCCGACACTATCAGTGCCATCTCCTTGCAATTCAGTGCATCTCCCACACTCTCGGTGCCATCTCCCACTCTAGTGCATCTCCACACTCTCAGTGCCATCTCCTCACCCCAGTGCATCTCCCACAACTCTGTGCATCTTACAGCTCTCAGTGCCATCTCGCCACTCTCGGTGCATCGTCGCCAAACTCTCAGTGGCCATCTCCTCACTCTCAGTGCCAGCTCCCCCTCTCGGTGGCATCTCCCAACTCTTCGTGCACAATTCTTCCACACTCTCAGTGCATCTCCTCACTTAGTGCTCTCCATCACTCTCTGTGCATCGTCCTCACTCTCAGTGCATCTCAACTCTGCAGTGCCTATCTCCCTCACTTCAGTGCATCTCTCATCTCAGTGCCATCCTCACTCTAGTGACCATATCCCTACTCTCAGTTGCCATCTCCCTCACTCTCACGTGCCATCTGCAGCACTCTCAGCAGTGCCATCTCCCTCATCTGCAGTGCCATCTCCCTCACTTCTCAGTTGCCATCTCACACTCTCGTCCGGTAGCTACCTTGCTAGAGGAGAACTAACAATTCTCTCAAGGTTTTTCCGTTTTTGCCTTTTATGGTCGAGAATCGCTCATCCAATCAGCTTCACGCGAGACACTGCACGTCACTGGACCTCAAGAAATACTCCTGATAAAATTGATCTCCATCCGATGTCCACCTCTTGGGGCA